CTTGTTTGCTGTGCTATTACAAACAGAGAGTAGCAATTTCAAATTGGTATGTTTCGTGGAAGCTGACATTTGTGCCTTTGAAGTTTCACACTAAGGCTTCCTTAGAGTATCACCTTAAGGGAGTTTTGTAGACGTCCAGGAAACGTTGCATAAAAATATTCTTTCAGACATCCTTTCTAGAAAGCAGGAAATATTCAAAAGATGAATATTTTGCCAAGACTTCAGGTTTATCAAGTTCTGAGGATCTCCAACTGTTTAAAAGTTCAATGTTCTTTCAAGACTGTAGGTTGTCCAGGAAGTACCGTAATCCAGGGGGAAAATTGATCACCGGAGTGAAATTGATCATAATGCGTTGCACTTTTAACTGCCACGTATAACATGGTCGGTGATAGATATCAATAGTAATATTAAAAGTATATCATCATGAGACTCCAATGATTGCCTTGATCTCTTTTCCTAACAAAAAGAAAAATTTATTGGATAAATTTCAATTTTATAGATCTGACGTTAAGGAGCAAACAATATCAACATCCAAACAAACGATCATAGGACTGCAGCTATTGATGTAATTACCATTCAAGTATCATGTTTTACTAAACTAAGTGTCAATGAATCCGAATTATTTTAAAAATTGCGGTACAATGTTTCAAATATCAAAAAATCCAGGGTTTTTCACAAAATTACCAGTAATTTTGAATTAACTTGCCTACATTTAGGCGCAACTGTGCATTTAAGACTTCTTTTTCGGTGTTTCTGCTCAAAACACTTTTCACACAAGGGTTTTAGCATCTGAATCGGATTCAGGGAACCCACATTTAATAAGAACAATTACTAGGGAACTGGGCACTGGGAAGCCATTTGAGGGGTTGATAAATTTCACCCCATATCGATAATTTAAAATTTAAGATTTCAAAAAATTCCAAAAAATTCACAAAACATTCTATATTATAATAAATCATGCAGGACAATGGAGCCCTCATTGATTGATTTAAATACCATTAGTTTTTCAATTTAGTTTATTGTAGGAATTTATTTATTTACGTTAAATAGTGATCAATTTATCCCCGGATTACGGTATTCAAAAGTTTTCCAGCTTATTGAATCTGATGGAATCTTGAAATATGAACTATAGATTTAATGGACATGTTTGTATATTCTCTATAGGGAAGACCCGTGCCTTAGTGATTTAGCTATATTAGTAAGAATTAGCACTCCAGCAGCTGAATTCCGGCATACATTTGAACGAAAATTGGAAATTTCTACAAATTTCTTTCTTTTCGATGAAATTTATTCCCGGAATTCAGCTTCTGGATAGTTTGAATGACTTAGCACATACAAAAATCCGTGCTTTTAGTGTCTATTTTATGATTAAAAACAGCTCGTGTAAATAATTAATTGGTTCCAAATGGGTATAACCAAAACTAACTTCATTTAAAATTTAAAAAAATCCCAATGCTTTTGAAAAAAAAATTCAATTATTATCTAGTCACAAACAGAGACGCAATGATTCAAGTTACGAGTTTTTTTTCGATTAGAATTAAAGTTAAATCTTGATTGACTTCGAATGTTTGTTAGTCCGATGCATCGAATAAAAAATTGTTCTGCATAAGTGCTTTATTACTTTCTTTTCTCTTCAAATATCAGAATCATGAAAAATTATAACCAGATTTTCAGTATTTTTCAAAAATTTTAAATCTTAACCTTAAACATATTTAAGTCCTAAATGTCTAAAATTTGTCATATTTCAAATTCAAACTCCTAGAATTTAATTTTGGTTCCTGTCTGAGATTTAACTGATGATGAAATATTCAGTATCTAAAAAAAAAGCTAGTTACAAAATTCATGGAATTATCTAACTCTGCGCATTTTCTTAAGTTTGAGATGGTTAAATGTTTGACATCCGGTCGCTATGTGATTTCATTACACAAAGCATGAACAAAGGATAATTGCTTGTTCAAATTCAGTAAGTTTTTAAGGCTCCCCCAATTGAGGTCCCAATCATTGCACAGTGGTCCAGAATGCAGATTTAGGTGGAATGATATGTTTTGAGCCTGAAATTGAAACTTTAGACTAAAAGTCTCTTCTACAAAGTTGTTTCTTATAGTTACGCCCTCATTTTTATGACATTGAATTCTAGGGTGGTTCCTATTATCATTAAAATCAAAAATCTAACTTTTTGTTTGAATAAATTAAGGTATACATTCTTCGACAAAGTTATAGCTGAGCTAATTTCAAGCAACTTTGTTGAAAATAACTTTTTTGTATCTCTTAAATTGGCCGATTTAGAGCTATTTTCTTGAATTGAGTTAGGGTGGCTCTTAAAAAACAGTTTTTTTGCTCTAGTTTTCTTATTTCGAATTTCTCAGCAAAGGTGTCGTGAGATAACTTTTAGATCTTAATAAGGCGCAAATTTTTGCTACACAAAGCTTGTCAATATATTTCGCCGATCAAGAGTTATTGATGTTTTTATACTAAAAATATGCACTTTTCAAATGTTAATATCTCTGGTTGGGGCAAACAAAAAAAAAGTTTTTTTACGGCATTTGAAAGGGCGTATGTTATTCTCAATCATATGAAAAAATTGGAGTTACGTTATTTTTTAAACTCGTATAAAATCAATTTGAATTTATCCATATTTTTAACTATATTTGAGTACATCTTTTTTATTAGAAGAGATACAGGCAACAAATTCCGCTTTAAAACATTTGTTTTAAAGAGTTTTAAAAGTCTCTAGAAAATGGCTTTCATGATAAATTTCAAATAAAAAAGTTATTGGCAAAAGATGGATTTCATAGGACCACTCTAGTGACAAATTTATATAAAATGTGCTAGTACATTTGTTTGCAAACATCAGGGTGGTCCTCAAATTAGGGATTTTTTAAAACTAACTTTTTTGTTTTACAAAATAAAAACAGGTGTTGTTCAAAAAAGTTGTAGCTAAGTTAATTACAAGCAACTTTGTCGAAGAAATTTTTTTCTATCCCTTAACGTTCTCATTTTAGAGTTATTTTTCGGAGTTGACTTAGGGTGTTCCTGGAAAAAATAGTTTTTTAGCAATAACTTTTTTATTTGAAATTTCTCATGAAAGTTATCTTCTAGAGAATGTTAAAACTCTCTAAGACGAATGTTTTATATCGGATTTAGTTGCCTGTATCTCTTCTAATAAAAAAGATATACACAAAAATAGTAAAAAATATGAATAATTTCAAATTGATTTTGTACGAGTTTGAAAAATAACATACCTCCAATTTTTTTATATTATTGAGAATAACATACGTTCTTTAAAATGCCGTAAAAAACTTTTTTTTTGTTTGCCCCAACCAGAGATATTAACATTTGAAAAAAGCATATTTTTAGTATAAAAACGACAGTAACTCTTGATCGGCTGAAGATATTGACAAATTTTAGCAGCAAAAATTTGCGCCTTCTTAAGATCTAAAAGTTATCTGACGACACCTTTGCTGAGAAATTCGAAATAAGAAAACTAGAGCAAAAAAACTGTTTTTCTAAGAGCCACCCTAACACAATTCAAGAAAATAGCCGTAAATCGGCCAACTTAAGAGATACAAAAAAGTTATTTTCAACAAAGTTGCTTGAAATTAGCTAAGCTATAACTTTGCGCAAGAATGTATACCTTAATTTATTCAAACAAAAAAGGTAGATTTTTGATTTTAATGATAATAGGAACCACCCTAGAATTCAATGCCATAAAAATGAGGGCGTAACTATAAGGAACAATTTTGTAGAAAAGACTTTTAGTCTAAAGTTTTAATTTCAAGCTCAAAACATATCATTCCACCTAAATCTGCATTCTGGACCACTGTGCATTGTTATGAAATAAATATAATCAAATTTATTGGTTCACCATTAATATAAAAGTAAGTTTCAATTTCATATTATTGGTCACAGAAAAAATGTACCCAATCTTCGCGAGTTTTTATTTAACTTTATTTTACCAAAATAAAAAAAAAATCAACAGGCCTCCCCTAGGCCCCCTTTAGATATATTTTCTAGCTACGCCAATGACAACAGCTGAGAACACTTCATGCAGCACAAACAATAAAAAAGCGAGTACAAGTGCTTTTCGATGTGTAATTGATTTGAATGGTTTTCCAAAAACCATATTGGTACTTCAACTGTTATTTTTAGGTGAAATGTATTTTAATTGGCAATTGGGCTCTTTAGGCTCGCAGGTGCTGAAGTCGCTTCCATGGCACTCGATTTTTGTCGGCTATTAATCAACAATTGGCAATCGAATTGGTGGTTCGAATATAAAGTTTTTAATAATGCTAACAATAATAAAGAGTTCGCCCATAAACAAAAATCAAACGTATTAATAAAGTATTTAAGGGGAAGTTCACCGCTACGAAAAAATAAATACGTTATGATTTTTTTTCTAAAATACTGATTTTTTTTTCTAGTTTTTCAAAGAAAACTCACGTGCAAACATTTTTCATAAATCATTATGGCGTATAGTTGGACTCAAAAAACCACAAAACATCGACTTTTCGATTTTGCTGAGCGTCCAATTTTTTTCATGATGAGATAGAAAAAATATTTTTACATGTGATTTTTGACAAAAATCTAAGAAAGAAACCGATTTTCTTGGATTTTAGATAATTTTTCCCAATATTCTGGGCCGGAAAACTTCCCCTTAAGGTGAAAGTTAATGCTTTTCCGTTAATACTGACTCCACACCCGTTCGAACCACACCCAAATTCAAAATGGACCAATAGCAACAAGAAATATTGAAATTTTGATCATAGTCGTAAATACAATATTATTGTATAGTTAAAATAATTCTACTACTGAAATGACAACAAGATTCCAAGTTCTGCCGAGTTTCAGGAAAGTCTCTAGCTATGGTCTTGAAATTCTCTGATCTGAACTTCTTCGCCAGATCTGAAGAAGGTCTACGGTTTGATCAATTTCCATAAAAAAAATTCAACTGTCCGAAAATAACGGTTGACACATCAAAACAAGAAAAATTAGGTAAGTACCTTCTCCATGGTGCCCGCGTCCAGCTTGTTGAGACACTGCACGATGTGGGACTGGTTCAGCCAGGGACGGCCGTCCTCCGTGACGGTGTGGAAGAGGTAATCACGAAACAGTTTCAGCATGTACCGATCGCCCGTTTCCGACCACGTGACGTCCAGGTTGAGTCTGAAAGATGGAGGGAATATTGATCATCGTTCAACAGCGCAGAAATCCACCCGCCAGGCAAGGCGATACTCACTCTGGTCGTTCGTTGATCGTGCCCAGCTTGACCAGCACCCGATAGAGCCGGCCATTTTCCATCTCCCGGGCCAGTTCATCCTCCTGGATATCACATTGGGATTGTAGTGCGTCAAGTTGCACGTAGAAGCGAGCGCCAATCATTGGCATGATCTCCGTCACCGAGCGTCGGTTGCTCGATGATAGTAAGTATCTGGAAGGAAACCGACCGTTAAAATTCCAACTTCGAACATTGATGCGACGCAACAATCTCACAAAATTATATTCCTCAAATCCGACGAGTAGTGACGCGATATTAGCTCAATACTGTTCTGAATCTGATCTCTTTGTACAGATTGTAAGCTTCGACAGGCGAGGGCCAGTATCAGTTTTCCTAGTGCCGTTAGATCATCCTGCGAACAATGGAAACAGTCAAATGTCGACTTGCGAGTCGTAAGCTACGGAAAACGAACCTGTTGATGATGATTCACAACGGTCAGGGGGTTCGTCTGGCTGGCATCGTACGTGGCAAGGTCCGATATCGCTACGCAACTGAACCGTATCCTCTTGCCGGTGATGATGATTTTCGTTGGGTCCAGTGTTCTAAAATGGCGAATTTCGGTTTTATCAAAACAACTTTTAATTCAACAAATCGAGAGTTCTATACCGGCAGGCCAAACCAGCTTGGTGTATTGCCCGCAGCCCGGCGGACAGCTGGATGATAATTGACCAGATTTCGTTCTCCGGCAGGAGCGTACTGGCAGCCGTCCTGTGAAGGGAACTTTTGTGACTGTGGAAATAAAATTTCGTCCAGCATTTTAAAATTTCAACGGCAGTTTAACGACAATTGTGTTTACCTGAAGGGTCGTGCTTCGCCGGAGAAAGGATCGGAATAGCCGTTTGTTGGTTCTGCGCTCGGGATAAAGTACTTCGAAAGTAACGTCTGCGATCCGGGGTGATAGTCGTACACTATCACCAAGGCTGTTCGGGGGAGATGGAATGGGGATGGTCATAACGGATGATTTGAGAGCTTGAGGATACTCACAATTATCACCGAAGGTTTTCGTAGTGAATACTTCGCGGAGTTGTACTACGTTCGTGTGCTGTAGCTTTTTCCACATATCGACTATCTGCATGCATTTGGTCGACTGGAGACGGAAACCTGTTGAAAAGGATGCAGTGTTGTCAATTGCATTTATGATTAAAACATGGATTTATTTCATGAAATCAATTTGAGTATAAATACATATAGGTACCGTAAACCGGGGGCAAATTGGTCACGATTTTTAGTGATATGTGAATATTTTCTTTGCTTGTAGCTTATTTTACATTCATTTATTTTTTAAACCAGTACGTGCCAGTACTGATGCACAGGTAACAAAACCTAGTAAATTGATTTGTTAAATTGTTTACGTAAGTTTTAGTTTGAATTATTATTTGAAAATACTGCTTCGGGGTGGAATTGATCATGAGTGTTTTGATTGTTTTTTCGGTACATTTGAATAAATTTAAAATTAGTCGACCTTTTTGGATCATACTGTTTATTCAAAGCTCAGGATCTTAATTTTTATTCCAATTCCGAGATTTTGAAAATTCTGGCTTGCCTCAAATAACAGAAAATTTTTATTGAATAAGGTAAGTACACCTGGTTAGGGGCGATCCATTTATTGTGTCACGCTAAATTGAGGAAACATTAACCCTCCCTCCCCCCTTTCGTGACGTTTTTCCTATACCTAATGGATTGCTTGTCACAAAATCATAACCACCCCTTCCCTTAGAGCGTGACATAATATGTGCATCACCCTTTATGGTACTGTTTAAAATTTGCTCCAGATTTGGAGTGTTTAATTTTTGGAATCGGTCAATTAGGTCCGGAGATATGTTCGAAGCAAGTTCCGGTTAATACGGGTCTAAAGACTAGAAGTGACACGTCAAACACATCATGCGATATATCAAAACACATTAGAATTCAAAAACAAGTTCAATGGTAGTCATATCGACTTTAAGCTTGGTCACGGCCAAAAAACGCGGCTACTGGCGTCAGTTCGTCGAAGGGCTATCGCGAAAGACTTCCTTGAAAACGCTCTGGAATGTCGGCAGGAGAATGCGTAACGCGGCATCGTCGGTCAACGAGGACAAGGAGTACTCTATCAAGTGGATTTTCGACTTTGCGCGTAAGGTTTGTCCCGATTCGGTTCCGGTTCGATGCAACACTTGTGATCCGCCGCTGAAAAAGGATGACATAGACTCCCCGTTTTCGATGGTAGAATTCTCAATTGCTCTTCTTTCATGCGATAACTCGGCTCCGGGAATTGATCGAATCAAGTTCAACCTGCTCAAGAACCTCCCAGACGTCACAAAGAGGCGATTGTTGAACTTGTTCAATCGATTCCTTGAGCTCAACGTTGTTCCGGATGATTGGAGACAAGTGAGAGTTATCGCCATCCAGAAGCCCAGTAAACCCGCGTCGGATCATAATTCGTACCGTCCCATCGCGATGCTGTCGTGTATTCGGAAGCTGATGATGATGATGGTCCCACCTCTTACCCCTACAAAGGTTTGAGCTGGACGAGTTATCTTTAAGATAATTAAATATAAACATTTTAACCAGGTTTGCAAACAAAATCGAGCTGGTTACAATTACAGATATAAATGTCCTGTTAAATATGCTATAGGCATCAACCAAAAACATTCAAAGGTGTAGCTAGTTATCAAAAGTCCAAGTATAGTCCTCGACAATACTTCCGTTTACACGTGACCTGGGATTTACACGTTTAAGCTTTCGCAGTGCCAGGACTATATCCAAGGAAACGACTTCCAGCCAATCCTTTACTAATGTAAGGCTTTTGCCACAATTTCCACGTATTAGTCATTTATACCTGTATTCCGCTCGCGAGGCTCAAACCATTGTAGACTACTCAAAGCTATTTTTACTATTACTACTACAAAATCAAAGAAACTAAAAATCCATCATCACCATCGAGGCAAACAATGTAGTTTTTTGTATATGCTACACAAATTACTAAAATGTCTTGATGACAGTCTCCATACAAAATAATCCGTTAGTGATAACTTTGTCAAGATACATGATTTATCCATTCATAAAAAATTAACTGCTCAATAAACAGCTTTTACATGTGAAATGCAGCGTCTCTTGAATTCTGTAAGTGTAGTTGCACGCTTGATGTGTCTAGGCATCGAATTGAAAACATTTATACCTTTGAAAAATAATGAATTTTGTGAAGCATTATTCAAAAGATGTGGTGTTCTTACTTCATCCGCGTTTCTAGTGTTATATCTATGAAAAAATTAGAAAAAATGATTCTTCTTCGTCTGAACAAGTGGGTCGAGGCGAATGGCTTACTTTCAGATACGCAATTTATATTCCGTAGGGGCAAAGGGACGAACAACTACTATGCGTTGCTTTCAACTGAAATCCAATTAGCCTATGCTGAAAAACAGCAGATGGGTTCAGTTTTCTCGGACATTAAAGGGGCGTTTGATTCGGTTTGCATCGACATCCTTTCGGACAAACTCCATGCGAGTGGGCTTTCTCCGATTATCAACAATTTCCTGTTTAATTTGTTGTCCGAGAAACGAATGAGCTTCTCTCATGGCAACTCGGAAATTGCACGAATCAGCTACATGGGTCTTCCACAAGGCTCATGTTTAAGTCCCCTCCTGTACAATTTCTATGTCAAAGACATTGATGATTGTCTGGCCGAAAATTGCACGCTAAGGCAGCTTGCAGATGACGGCGTGGTTTCCGTGGTTGGACCAACAGCACTGGACGTGCAAGGACCATTGCAAAATACCTTGAATAATTTGTCTACTTGGGCAATGAATCTGGATATCGAATTCTCTCCGGAGAAAACAGAGATGGTTGTTTTTTCTAGGAAGCTTTATTCAGCACAGTTTCAGCTTCAACTTATGGGTAGAACAATCACTCACAACATGTCGTTTAAGTATTTAGATGTCTGGTTCGATTCCAAGTGCACTTGGGGAAAACACATAGCGTATCTGAGGCAGAGATGCCAACAGCGAATCAATTTCCTTCGTTCCATTACCGGCACTTCATGGGGAGCCCATCCGGAAGATCTGATAAGACTCCACAAGACCATTCTCTCGATTTTGGAGTACAGTAGCTTTTGCTTTCAATCGGCGGTGGGGACGCACATATTGAAGCTCCAAAGGATTCAATATCGTTGCATTCGCAACGCACTAGGTTGTATGCAATCGACGCATACCATGAGTCTTGAAGTTCTTGCGGGCGTCCTCCACTTAACAAATCGTTTTGCGGATTTATCGTTCCGGTTCCTCATCCGCTGTGAAGTCATGAACCCGCTGGTGATCGAAAACTTTGAGAAGCTGCTAGAGCGGAATCCTCAAACACGATTCATGACCTTGTACTACGAGTACATGACTCTGGACATCGGCCCCTCCTCGTTCAACCCCAATCGCGCTGTCTCCCATCATTTCAGTTGTTCTTCCGTGAGATTCGATCTCACAATGAGGCAGGAGATTCAAGGAATTCCAGAGCCTCACCAAACAAATACCGCCACGTCGCCACCGAGAAGAGATTTTTCACAGATGGGTCGGTAATAAAAGCGTCCACTGGTTTTGGAGTATTCCACGATCTTCATAGCGCCCTTATGGGTAGCCTTCATAGTATTCTGGTATGGGTCCCTTCTCATTGCTCTATCCCAGGCAATGAGAAAGCGGACTCGCTGGCCAAGGTGGGCGCTATAGAAGGTGATGTTTACGAGTGACAAATCGCCTACCACTAATTTTTCACGATTTCTCGTCAGCAAGTCCTCGCCAACTGGCAACAAAAGTTGAATGATGGTGATCTGGGAAGATGGCTACTTTCTATTGTCCCACAGGTGTCGATCATACCCTGGTTCAAAGGGTTGGATATGAGTCGTGATTTTATTCGTGTAATGTCCAGGTTCATGCCCAATCACTGTTCGTTAAACGCCCACCTCTTCCGAATTACGCTTGCCGACAGCTACACCGGTGTTACACCACAGTACATCGAAAAAATTCAGGGTGTAGCTATCGGTTGCACAAACAAATGATGATGAGCTGTCAATGACTCGTGCTTATAGAAATTGCTGACGTTTTTACAAAGATGGACTTTTGTATACAATATTTGCAACATTTTTTGAAATATTTAAGATTACGTCACGTATACGTATATGCAAAATGTTTTCATGAAAAAAAAAAAAATCATAGCGAAAAATTTTCCTGATGAAAACAAACCACTGACGCAATCACACTTTAGCAATCTCTATTGCTGCTTACACTACACCGGTGTAGTGTAGCAAAAACGAAAACGACATAACTCAATGGTGTAAATGCAGGCGTTTGTCAATTCTATCAGTCAAAAGTGGCATTTTCTGACAGGAAAATAGTCTTATTTTTTCACTAGCAGCTGGCGGGTTCTGTCTTAGGTAAAAGCTAAGAGGAAGAGGAGACAACTGTCTTCTTTTTGTCTGTGACGAGTTCTTCTTCTCTCACGGAAACGACCGTGCCAAAACTATTTAACTATAGAGATTAGTGACGTTTAACGCACACACACTAACGGGAATCTATCACCATGTAAAGTTGTTTATTATTTTCCTCTGGCTAACCTAAAAATGTATGAAATTTGCGATTTGTTATGTTTTTTCCTCGGATTTCCACTAACACGCTCTCACATATCGCACCAACACAACCGGACGTGAAAATCTCAATGGGCAACGCAGTCGACTGTCAAAATACAAGAAAATAGATTCCCTGTGGTAAAAATTCTCACGTTTCTATACGCTCTCCCGACCAATCAGGCGCTTGATTGCGTTTGACAGAAAATTGGTTCATAAAAGTCCCCCTGTTGTCTTCTCTTAGGGTAAAAGGAAGTATTTAACTGGAAACTCCAGACTACTAATGCAGTGCATATTATTTATAAGTAACTTCAACTTCAGCATCCCCCCAAGTCCGTATAAAACTTGCAAAGTCTCCAATAATGCGAAGCAAACAGGTGGATCTTGGATATCATCACAGGCCTATTACCTAAAAAAAAGCAAATCTTACCATGAAGACGTCTAAGGCAGTATTTCACGCCCGTTAGATTGTGTGTTGCTTTGTAGGTGGACGACTGTACCGGTAGCTTGGGATGGACTGGCAAAGACTCTAACAGACTTAACGAATGATAGTTCTCCACTTCTAGAGGTAAATCTGAAAGCATAAGACAAAAAAAAAACAGTCAGCAACGACAGTTTCCATTGGAATGAATCTATTCAGACCTTGACACTCGGTTTCAACACTATTGACTATTTCGTTCCTAGATAAAATATCGTTTCTCAGTTCGTCCTGCAGGAAGTACGCCATCGATACTTGTGCCTTCACTTGCTGCATGTTGACAACGTGCGATGCAGGTCCCGGGTAGAGATGTCCTGGAATTGCAATGGACAGTTATTCCATCTCCCGCAATGGGAAACTTCCAAGATTCAACGAACTCACCTGGATGCGAGTAACTTAAATTAATTTGTGAGCTTGCTACGTGGACAAATGTATTATCAGTCGTGTTAACTGTACTACTCGGTGTTAATTGATGGTTTGCTGCGGTCGGATAGAAATACGTCGTCCCACCGACATTCTCCTGAAAGGTGCGGTACGTTTAATCATGAAAATGGGGAAAAAAAGACCGTTAGCATTTTTAAACATTCGAATACAAATCCTGAAAATTGACACTTTACTTGATGAATGTTGGTGGTAATTGGCGGTGGTGATGGTTGAGGCGTAATTCGGGGAGATGTATTAGTACTCTGTGGTGATTCGTTACGGAGTAAACTTCGACCTTGAAGTAGCAGCGTTAAGAAAATACAAAAGAAAAAAAAATACAAAAGCCTAATCAGTATCATTTTTGTCAGCGACTAAAAAGGGTGAACTAATTACTGACGGCTCCCAAAGGTGCTAATTAGATCCACGCTTGGCGGTCACCGATGCTCTGTCGCATTTCGGTGGAAAGTTTTCCGCTTCACAAACTGCACCAACTTACCCTTGATGGGCGTCACAGCATACGTTGAGCTATTGCTGAGTGAGCTACCGAGGATACTGCTCCCGTAGCTGCTGGCTTGGGACTTAACCCCGGAACTGTTTCCGTTTCCTCCACCTCCACCGCCACCTCCCCCACCCGCTAGTCCACCGTTGCCATTGGGGACGATCGCCGTCGCCACCGATGAAAGCTGTGCTGCCTGGGACTGGCCGGGGCCACCGGGGACGACGGACCCTGCCGTACTGCCCGCTGCCACGACCACCGTTGTGCCATTGTTTGACGTTATCACACTGTTACCACCGGCCGGCACCGTACTACCGTTGCTGCCGAGTATCGAGTACGACGAGTAGAAGTTTGGTGATGATGATGTGTTGAGACGATTGTTTGGAATGAATTCTGGCGACTGGGGAGTCACCTGGAAACAGCACCGGAAATGGAAATAAAAGCAAACGGGTGAGTTATGGCTAGCTACTAGCATGACGTAAAGAGGTCAATCGTGTGGACTAATGGTGCACTAACCTGAGTTTTCTTAATCGATATAGGAGAGTCTAGATTTAGTTTGCTGAGACCCGTTGACAACCCATACGTCGGTGTGGAAACGTTCTGTCGACTCTGAAATTGGAAGAATGTAAGCAGTTATTAGTATGAAACTGTACGGAAAGCTGGTAGATAACATAAATTATTTCGTGAAGTAATGAAATTGGGTTGTTAGCGGAATGCTTAAATAAAACAGCAAAAAAAAAGGGTAATCTTCCATTTAATTCCACTCAATTAATTTTGGTATCCATGACAGATACGTATTTCGACTACAATGTGCAGTCTTCATCAGTGTCATTCTCACATTTTATGAATAATCAGCAAAAGAAATTTTACAAAAGGTATTGACATTTTTTTGTTTTTGACTTTCGCACCGGTAGTTGCTAAGCCTATCGTTGAACTTCGAGCTGAAACTGATCGCAGAGGTTCGCGATTATTATTTTTTCGATAATATTGATATTCCCAATCATGAATATTGAAGATTGAATGTTGAGATACCCAAGGTTTATAGAAAAGGTCCTCCGGGAGATCCAACACATCCGTAAAAGTGGTCAATTTAAAAAAATAAAGATCCTCAGCGATTTGTTTAAGGGGTTAGGCCACTGTAGCGGGTTAAAAAAAATGATTTTTTTTTTCTTCTTCTAGAGTATAAAGAATACGGAACAATTCATTTTATACCCGAGAACACTTTCTTTCGCATTATTTGGTTTGGTACTAGGGGACTACCTGCGCACTCCCGGGATGAAATTTATCTTTAATCGCGTTTTTCTCAAAACCATGTTTTTCAAGTCGGGCGGAAACGAAAGTCACATTTCTAATTGATTAATCGACTTGTTTTTTTTTGTAGCTTGTTCTAAATATACATATTTTTTTGTGAAGCAGTTGAGTTTTTATCTTTATCTTTTTTTCTAATTAACTCTTATAATTGACATTTTTGCCTTTAAAATCAGACCATTTTTTTCAGACACGCGCCACGCGTCAAAAAGCAATATTTTTACAATCGGCCAAGTACTTCACTAGCTCCACCTAGCTTCACCTCCGCCCGCAAACCAATTCACGTCGGGGATGCCATCACTTAGACGACTGCAGCGCCATCTCGCTGCACATTTCAAATATCAAAAATTTGGGAAAATGTTATTTAAAATATTTTCAATAAAATACTGAAAATTGCATTCTTGTAAAATGTTTCTGTCCGCAAAAACAAAAAAAATCGCGAAATTGACCCTTTTTTCGGCTTCTACACTGGCCTAGCCCCTTAAATCACTTATTGTGAGGCTACATTAATGAATTTGAATCTGAGTCCAGCATGCTGGGAGCTACAGAACAGTTCTTTGGAAAATCTTTGACATCCGTAAGAGTGGTCAATTCGTTAAAAACTATTCTAGACCTCCGCGATTGTTTTGAAATCACTTGTTGTGAAGCTGTATGAACGGATTTTGATTTTAAGACCAACTTATGCACATTGCTGGCCACGGGACGGTCCTCCGGAAAAGTAAGAATATCCTTAACAGTGGTAAATTCTAGGAAAAAAATGCCAAAGCTCTGCGAATGTCTAGTAATTCAATATTGTGATGCTACATGAATGAATTTGGATCGGAGACCAAAATGTGTGCGCTAGCGTCCAAGGGTGGTTCTCCGGGAGATCTTGAATATTCATGAAAAGTGGTAATTTAATGAAAAATAGATCGGTGCAGGCATGTCCTTGCAGTTTCCTTGATCCGAGGGAAAATTGATCAATATTGGTTTCGTTTTTATTACCAGGTAAAAAAATAAATAAATGGTGGATATCAAGAAAAATTTTGATTGCATTTCATCATGTGAATGCAATGATTGCTTTGACGAGTTTCTAATTATATAGAAGTAAATTTTCCTGCATAAATCTCGATTTTATGACGTTCAATAGCATTCAAATCAGCATTCAAACAAATGGTCATAGGGTAGCAACGATTGTTGTCATTAACTTAAAAGTGATATTTTCATGAACCTATGTGCCAATGAATCGGAATTATTTATTTAAACAATAGGGTTTTTTTTTCAATATTGACGAATCAATGGTTTTCTGTGAAATTTCCAGTGATTTTTAAATTTTACAGAAGTAAAATGAGAAAACGTATCTGGGGGAGACGGGAGACACCTTGGGAGACACCCTAGAGGAGGAAGCCAGAAGAGACTTGCACATGATGAGTGTTCTTAGGGGTGCTGGAAAAAGCTTTCAGATGTAGTCAAATTAGTTTCTGAAATAAGTCGGTATAAACTTTTATTGGAAAACAGATGATCTTTTCCGCCTTAAGAATATATAGTGTATCGCAAAATTGAGCGTACACTCGGATTTTTTTAAACATTGTAAATAGTTATGTTGTTTTAATCTTGGCTGGTGGTTAAAAAGATATTTATGGATTTTTCACTATAGTTTTGGACTTTATTGCAAGAAGTTTGATTTATTTTAGTAAAACGCTCGATTTTCAACTTTTTACCTATTAGTGCAATAATAATGATCTTATTATGACTAAATATGAGCAAAATTTCAAGAAGTTTACTTCATTGTATTTTAAGATATTAAGGTATTGCAATAAAAAGCGTTTTTCTCAAATAGCTCTTACTTTTTATAAACGCAAGCAAATAAGCCCAATATTGTACCATTAATTGATAAATGTGTGATGATTCAGAAACCAAAAATTCAGAAACGTATCTTTTACAGCTGTTTTTTTTTAATTTAAGGACATCTGAAGGCTCAATTTTGAGATACACTGTATGTAGAGGAAACTGGTAGAAGCTCTAGGAGACGATTCATAACTGACGTAGCATTTTAGGGAGTAAAGAAGTGCAGAAATCGGTACAGGCCATGTATTATGTGTGGAAAAATACGCTACGAACGAGGGAGGGGGGAAGTTATTTATGGATGGTTCATAGGATCTTTTTAATGAATTCACCACTTTTGCAGTCCAGATCTGCGCATGCTGATCCCAGATTCAAATTCGTTCATGTAGCATCAAAATAAGTGATTTTAAAACAATCTTAGCTTTAGGATCTCTTCAACGAAATGATCATCTTTACGGATGTTCTAGATCTTCACAACAAGTGATTCTTTTTTACGAATTCACCACTTTTACGAAGGACCGCTTCACTGTGCCTAGAGTTAACATTTCATGTACCACCATTGCAAGTGATTTTTAAAAATTTTAATATGAGAAACAAAAATGATATTTCATAAATAGCAACGCTTGGGTCGATTGCTATCGCGCTGCCAAATTTGCTAACCCGCTGTTCACCGAGCGGCAGATTGTAATTTTCCGCACATGAATAGTAAACCCCGATGCGATTGCTCCGTTAAGATGGAGGTTGATAAAATAGCTTTAGCAACGCATTGGGTGCGGGTGGTCTAAGACATGACCAGAGATTTTCATTCCTCAGAAAAATCCCATCGACCTCGGCTGGGATTGAACCCCGGCATGCTGGGGTGCGAAGCAGTCACGCTTACCACTACACCACTGTCGCTGGCAAAGAATAGCAGTTTTAGTATAATGAGAGAGAGAAGGATTAGTATTTTCCATTTAATTCCACTACTTTATTTGCTTATCCTTGACAGATACGCGTATTTCGTCTACAATGTGCAAACTTCTTCAGTGTCTTGTACTAGTCGAGTATTAGTACAAGACACTGAAGAAGTCTGCACATTGTAGACGAAATACGCGTATCTGTCAAGGATAAGCAAATAAAGTAGTGGAATTAAATGGAAAATACTAATCCTTCTCTCTCTCTCATTGTACAGGTATTCCACTAAGACGCCCACATTCATCAGGAGCTGTTTTAGATTATTAACAAATTAGGGCCTGGCAAAGACAAATCGCAGTGACCATCAGACTGCTGAGATGGATTTCAAACTGATAAAAAAAAAATCAATGTGTGACTCTCTTATTGTCAATGTAGTTGTTGAAATTGATTTTTTTTTTCGTTTTTTGATAGCAATTCGAATCTTGAGTTACGAGAACATTATGTGTATGCACTACAAGTGCACCGGCTAGTACTATTATGGTAAATGTAGAGCTGGTTAATCACTGATTTTTACATATATACACCCCCCGAACACCTCAAACCCTTGCGCCCATAACTGTTACAAAAGAACACATAATTCAGTTCCCTCTTATTGACACTGGGATATGGGTAAAACGTGTATGGAATCAGCTCGCCATACACACTTGATCTAGCTCGGTAAAATCTCCAACAGCCGATTACGTCGGAATTCACTTTTGCTGATATCTCTACAAAATATCTGTTTGTTAGCTGATATCCCAGCAAAATGTTATTTTCTAGCTGAGTCTCGGCAATTTTTTAACTGAATCTCAACAAAATAAATTGCAAAGTAGGCTGTTGGAATCTTGGCGAAAACAAAAGTGTGTACATCTTAAAAATACCTCAGAGGCAACTTAATGACAGCCTCAGAATATGTCATCATCAATAAGTGGGATTGAGTTGGGAAAAATAGCGACCAACAACTTCCGAAACTTTTCCCTCAAAAACATAAGAAATACATCATTAAATTAATATTTCAAGGCTTGTTCCTATTAATTGTCTTTATAAACTCAACCATATTTAAATCGGTTGAAGCTGCTTTAGAAAACCATCGCATTTATTTCGACTTAGCACTACGACACACACAAAATTTATTTTTTATTTTTAAATCACTCCCTGCAAGAATACAGTACTCACTACATCAGCACGTAAAACAACTCACACAATTTAATCAGTTTTACTCGATTTATTCCAAAAATGGCTGAAAAACTGCATTTTTAACCGGGGTTTACCGGTAAGCATCGAACAACAAGACTGACACAGGCGCACGGTATGGATGTATGCACTAAGTAACAACAGCTTCTTGTAACCTATAATGATCGATCATCGGTCGTAGCTTTTTGTGATGTAAGGGGCACGGTGGCCTAAGCGCGATCGTTTTTGCCTACTGAGCAGATGATCGTGGGTTGTGGATCGTGGATCACTGAGTTGTAAGGGACGCGTCATTAGCTACCAGGCTTTAAAAGATGGCAACACTTTCCAGTGTGAATCCAGATCTAATTCAC